AAGAGGACGATATCCGCTTCGTCATGCCTAGAGCTGATCTGTGCTGGTCGCTGAGTCGTTGCTCCGGCCGGACACGGCATCAACAGTATGTGTGGGGCGTAACATTTCCGTCTCACGCTTGAGGTATTCGGCCAATCACAATGCACTGGATAGCTGGCCAATCAGCGTACACCTCGCTTTTCAGAATGATGAGCTTTTTCAAAATCGACGCGTTTCAGAAAGGCGGGGCATAGAGGAGAAACAATAATGTACAGTATGTGAAAAATAATGTGTTTTTTTAACCTTAAACCGCATAAACACATTGCATTACACCACATACACAACATAATGTTCTTTTTAGCAACGTCCCCTTTATGACCCCTTTAAAAAAAATCTGTTCAACTGCTTGCTTTTTTTTAGATGTTATTTTGTATTTATAGCAGATAGATATGGAAACAGATCTAAAACTAATCTGTAAAGTCAACATGTGGTTTAGCTGACCCACTGTGATGTGATAAGGCCAAGCATGAGTAAATATTAACTCCAATGTCCAGGAGATGGTGCTCAAGACTTTAAAATGCAAGTACAAATCCATCTCATCAGTAGCATTGGACAGCTGACCTATCCAAACATGATTTTTTTTATTTTAATAAACCTAATTTTGTTCAATTAATTAACCTTAAATTATATTTAAAATTTTAAATCAACTATTCTAATGGAATATGTCTTTATCTAGTCTTTGTAAAGGAAGTTGAGCAATAAAGGCTGCATCAGTGGGTCAAGTAAACGGGCTGCGGACAGTGATAATCTCTTCTATTGAAGTGATTTCCTAATGTCAAACATGTCTGCATATTTTCTTAATGGATGTAATCTTTACAGGAATTTTAAAAAAGGAAGAAAAAAAACTTAATCTTAATGATTAAATAAATGCCCATCTGGTGATGAATATGAAGTATGCATGCATATGAATTTAATTACAGTGTTTGCAAGACAGAGCTATATAGCTCAAACCCTGACCCTAAGTATTATAGTTCTGTAATGAATTCAGCCCAGCTGCTTAACATACAGTATGAGTCTATTTAAACTTTATTTTTCTTTCTCTTTAAACTTTTTATTAAGGCAATCTTTATTAAGGAAAGATTCAACTTTCTGAAAAGGCAACGTTATGCTGCATTCTACGAAAGAAGTCACTTACACCTGATGGACATCATCATAAAAGGTGATGCAAACATTTAGCTGACGCATCATATATCTTATCATCACAGAAGCCAAACAATAGCAACACTGGAAGTTCAGTAGTGTGTTGAACAGGAAATGTGTGTCTGTACATTTCTTAAGATGATAGAGAGGTGACATCATCTCCTCTGGCTCTTTCATTCATGAACCCCCCCCAACCCACCCATTAATCACAGGATGAAATCCAGCTAAAACAGAGGGGCATAATACTATGAATAAAAAAAAAAAAAAGTAATATCACATAAAAGCCCGGGATTTCAACTTTATAATAAATCAGGCATGCAAACTGTGGCACGCACAGACAGAGAGTAGAAACATATGAGAATGGCTCCGGATGTTAGGAAACAACAAAGAAATGCAATTTCATCATGCCACATTACTCTGTGATTTTAAAAATACATTGTCTGAGTAAAAATTGACTGGCAATGGCAAACAGATGACTGATGACAATGAATCACCTAGATGTATGTGACGAACAACACACATCTGTTTTGATATCTAATTAATCTGAAGATGCAGGTTTTTTAATATTATCTATACCTCAACAACTTATTAACTCTTACAGATTTTTTTTTTTACTAGTTTTCACAGAAAATACTACTTTATGTATCTGATATTTTATATATATTTCTTAATTCTCAAAACATGCTGTGAAATGGCCACTGCAATATAAAAACCACAAGGATTGTCAGTACTTGGGGCAAAGTCCCTTTTAGAAATATTTTTATGTGTTAGAAAAAGGGAAAAGATCTTGAGTAATTTAGCATGAGTCACAATATGAGCTTCCGCGAAAGCATAGCCAACTATCTCATTGTTTAGTGCACAGCGCATGTGCCAGCTTGCCTGAGGCCAGGCCCCCCTCAGCCAATCACAGATTCGTCACTATAAAGCCAGGAACACTAACAGGCACATGACAGCAAGTGCTCAGTAAGCCCAGTGCAGCTCTACACCGCAACATCTGCAAGCAAACAAGAAATCAATTGCTTACTACCATAAAGGTAAGCAACAAATACACTTTTTCTGGATCTGCTTTGCTTTCATTCTTTTACATTGCATATTGTGCCTATATAGCTATTTTTCATTGACTTGATTTAAACATATTGCATGTGGGGATATAAATTAATTATAATTACATTTAAATATGTTCATCTTACACTTTTACAAATAAAGTAATGCCATAGAAGATCCATTTTGGGTTCTTAATAGTTCTTAAAAGAACCATTTTAGGCTTAGTGTGATGAATAATTTAATCATTTAAAGAACATTTTCTGATTGCAAAGAACCTTTAGCACAATGGAAAGGTTCCATGGATGTTTAAAGTTCTTCATGGAACCATAGATGCCAACAAAGAACTTTTATTTTTAAGACTGTAAGTGCACCATATAGATTATAAAACATTTTTATAACCAAACATAAGGATACAAATAGAATTCATAAAATGTCAAAATTAGATGATCAATTTAAATAGAACCTTCAAAGGCTGCTGTACATGTTATAATAGTAATATGTATGAAATTTGCCAAGAATGTATTCAAAGGTACTGTAGGAGTAGTTGCATTAGTGATCAATGAACTATGAAAATTAATGGATTGGATGAATGGAAAAAAAAAAAACAGATCAATGGTGGGCTTATAAGTACCATTATACAGTATGCATGCTTGCTTGCAGAATCAGTGCTTGCAAATTCATGTGATTTTCTTGGCGATACTTTTTTATTTTTTTGTCAACTTTACAAATGTTCCTATTAACTTGAATTCCCCCTGCTTGTGGTCAGAGAACATGTGCCTTCTCTTTTATACATGCTTCTTATGAATATATGGCTAACTTCTTCAAATTGATTTTAGGATCTCCAAAAAAGGAAAACCTTGGTTTGCGGTCAAGATGAAGTGTATACTCAGGATATTACTGTTGACATGCACCCTGTGCTTTATTGAAGCTGTAAGTGGAAAAACAAAACAGAAGTGAAAATTCTTACTTCCTACTGAGGGTCTTTAATTGGAATTAACATTTTTACCCACACTGCTAAGATTAATATTTCTGTTTTTAGATTAAAAGCCCTTGGAGAAAAAACACTTCTTCTCGAGTAAAGGGTAAATTTCACAAAATTTGATTTTGTCATATTAGATTAAAGTTTTCCAACAATATGCTATTTGATTAAGGTTGTATTTTTAGCATTTGAATGTCTAGGTTTTAATCATGACTTTTCTCTTTTCACAGATAAGTGCATACTAGATGGAAGCAAGGAGAGCAAAAACGAAGTGTCAGTGACAGTCAGTGGGCGGATATGTCTACCATGGAATTCCTTCCAATACAGAAACCACTCGTTCAGTAACTGCTATCATAACTACTGCAGGTATTTATATTTATATTTATATACTTTATATATATATTTTTTAAAGGCTGAGACCTCTGAATTTTGCTGTTTTAGGAATCCAGATAAAAGGATTCAGCCATGGTGCATTGTAAAGAGAAGAAATCGTTATGTATGGGAATACTGTGACATTACCGACAGGGAAATTAAACCAAGTAAGTAGAAGTCCATCTCTTTTAAGCCATGGGAAATATTGATAGCAGACTGACTAATATGGCTTACATTTGCTCTTGCAGCCACCATGAGTCCACCAAAATCTGACCCATCAAAGCAGGACAGAGGTAAAATTTTGATTGATTTACTTTTTATTGCCCATTCTAAACAAAAATCCTCATTCATTTAGTGAAAATGTAAGGAAAATCCCCACTAGGATCCTTTTACAAAGCCTAGAAAATTCTCTCTCCTCACAAACTTCATGTTTCTTCATTATTCAGAATCATCATGTGGGGAGCGACACTTGAACCGCATTACAAAGATAATAGGAGGATCAAGGTCAATGGTTGAGTCACAGCCTTGGATTGCAGCTATCTTTAAAGGAGATGGATTCATTTGTGGAGGAACCCTTATTGCTCCATGCTGGGTTCTCACTGCAGCCCACTGCTTCCCTGGCGGGTATGTCAACCTGTTGTTAACAGAAAAAAATTTGACCTTCTAAATGCACAGTCCGCTCCTGGGATCTGGGTCTTGTATCACCCTATTGAGTTTATTTTGTGATAATGACATGCTGACAGCACATTATCCTACTTATTAGTCATCAAATATTATCTTAAAGCTTCCACTAAGAAAAAAAAGTCCACTACAGCATACAAAACAATCAGCTTATCAGCAAGACGAACACTTCAACAATATTACAGTAATAGTGATCAAGTTCTCTGAGGTCATTTTCACTATTAATATCTTTTACTGAGTTGCAAGATGGCACAAGTTGGCGGTGTGATACAAGAGACATCAAAGTGGCAGTAAAATCATGAGGAAAGAAAAATAAAAATTACCTAGGTGGTAACTTGCATGCAGATTGCAAAGAACATTTGTGCCACAATTCATGGGTAGCCAATTGCAAACCAATGAGTTATTATCTAGATACAGTGTTGTCATGGGCAACAGTGAATATTACGAAATATCAGACCGCTGAATGCTGCGTTCAGAATCAAGTATTCCAGAGGCCGTGTAATAAAACTGCTTAACGCAGTTAATGTAGTGTCATCGCATTGTGGTATAATAACATGTCATATAATTGTACTATTTCTTTGCTTTGAACAGTAAGAAAACACAAATAAAGAGATACTCAGTCTTTCTGGGAAAGAATGCCATCAATGAAACCGACTCCATTAAAGAGCAGCAGTTCAACGTGAGCAAACTTGTGGTTCATGAGGGCTTTGATTACACAACTGAAAACTTCAATAACGACATTGGTATGTTTGCTTTATATTTTATTATTCCAGCAATTAAAAGAAGAGTGCATAAATAATAAGTAGTGCAAATCCCTTCCTTTAGCTCTTTTGAAGATAGTGGACAGCAATGGACAATGTGCAGTGAAGACAAACTCTGTGAGAACTGCATGTATTCCCCCTTTCCAGCAGATGCTTCCTACAGGATTCTACTGTGAGATTGCTGGCTATGGAAGACATCAAAAGGGTAAGACGACACACACTGTATGCTAAGCTAGATAGTGTATCCGAGAACAATAACAATGATCACTTTCCTACGACAACAAGATATGAGGGCAACATGGTGTGTCCACAAAGTTGATCTATGATATGAAATATAACACAAACTGGGACGTCCTATGATTATGACACAACATGCTGTACTGGATCTCTAAAAATTTAGCTGGACATTTTAGTAATGTCATTTTGTCACTCTGGATGTCAATGAATGTCAATGCCAGGACTAGAACTACGTAATACATGAGATGAACATAAATGTCATCATTGCTTTTTATCTGTTTTTTAAGGAGGCTTTGAGTACTCTCGATATCTGAAACAGGCTCAGGTGAGGCTTGTTTCCCAGAATGATTGCCAGAACAAGTATTACAGCAAGGACGAGGTCAATAAAAATATGTTGTGCGCAGCTGGTAGAGACTGGGAGGAAGATGCTTGCCAGGTAAACCAGAAGTTTTCACTGATGATTGATAAATATGACATTTGGCCTAGACAAGTTAAAATATCTTCATAAATACACATCTGAATGTGTTCATTGTTTTTCTGCTTTCAGGGCGACTCAGGAGGGCCTCTGGTGTGCGAAGTAAATAACACCATGTTCCTATTCGGTATCATTAGCTGGGGAAAAGAGTGTTCAAAAAAGTTTAACCCAGGAGTTTACACAAAAGTCACCAATTACAACAACTGGATCTCAATGCATACAGGTTTACCCAAATATACAGTAGGCTCCAGGTATCCACAAAAGGAATAATTATGACAGGGTCACTTTACAACAGAAATGAGACCGTTGCTCAGATACTTAGCCACTCAGGGTAATGTTATATTCTGTGCAGAATATGTGCCAATTATTTATGCCATTTTGATTATATACGGCAGCTACTGTAATCAATAGGAATAATCTTTGACAGTGTTATAATTACATGTTCCTGCATTTATTGAATAGTGATACCAGGTGTATGAAGGATACATAGAATGACGACTGAACAAGTTGATCTAAAATAACTGATGTTAATGACATGGCCATTGGTCCAGTTTGTGGCAATAAATATATAGATAGAATTATATATATAAAGAAGGAGTAGTGGTCCTGATAGTTAGATTTTTTTAATCCATTTTATGACTGGGCATTATCTCTTTTGTTCATTTTTTTTAATCGTTACTATTTATAATGTATTATTTAATATTTAATTTATTGCACGACCATATGTATGACGAACATATTTATTTATTTATTTATATCTACCTTTTTTTTTGCATATATATACATATCTCTGATTGTAAAACAGTCATTTACTTTAATACAAAATTCTCATTTCCATTTTTATGATACACCATTGTATTAATACACCATTTTATTTGACATTAAACTTGCTTTAAATCTCTTCACGTTTTCATTTCATTCATTCATTTTGCATCATTATAAATATTCCTTTAAATTACAACCAACTGATGAATTCTCACTCATATCCTTTTCCATTCTTTTTAAGCATGTATTAACTAGTTCATCTATTATTCATCTGTTAGTCTCAATGATGTGCAATATTTTTTCAAAAATTATTCAAATATAGGCATGGTCTAGCAGTACGTGCACATCTGCCTCCTTAAAGGGATAGTTCAAAAGTACAAAAGAAGATATTCTGTATTTTGAGATTTATTTTTCTCCATACAATGGAAGTCAGTGGGGACCAATGCTGTTTCATTATAATGAGAACATTCTTTGAAATATCTTCTTTTGTGTTCTACAGAAGAAAGAAAGTCATTCAGGTTTGGAAGAACAGTAAATTTCTTCCTTGTTTTCTTTTTCAAATTTTTTTTTTGGGGAATCTAAACTTTCTTGTTCCATTAAACTAATTGTAATTAAATATTGTATGGTAAAATTGGGAATATTGTCACAAAAGGTCAGCATGTTCCTTTTTCCTATAGTCAATAATGATGGAAATGTCCTTTTTACAGCCAAGACTTTAAGGTATGAGTTTATACAGAAATTGACTGTTAAAATAAACCAATCCTGAGAAATATTAGTCAGTTATTATTAGTTAGTGACAATTAGCCGGTCTCTCCTATACATAATCAAACACACACACACACACACACACAGTGGAGATCAAAATTAGAGAACAATCTATAAATACCAAAAAATTTTCCGAAATATTTTTAATCTTCATCACTCAAAATTTGAAGGAATATTAGTTGTGAGTATACCACTGTTCTACTAACATGTTTTACAAAATAACCAGAAAATTTCAACAACAAAAAAAACATTATTTTGTGGAAAACAGTGATCAAAATTAGAGAACAGTAACCACTGTAGCACGAAAGAAGATTACAACGAACATTTTGGAGGGTTGCAGCTGTCAGAAATTAGTAGGAAGTGTAGAGGACTTCATCTATCTCTGCAGGACATCACTAGTTTCTTCTCACACTGCTCTGGTGTGATCTTGGTCCACTCTTCTTCCAGTCTCTTCCATAGTTCGGTAACTGTGGTGGGTTTCTTAGCCATAACTTTGTCACCAAGGAATTTCCAGAGATTTTCAGTTGGGTTTGAATCAGGACTCTGGCCCGACCATTTAATTATTTCAGTGTTCTTAGCTTCAAGGAACTGCTTTATTCATTTTGCAGTGTTATGGGGGCATTGTCTTGCATGAAAATTGCAGGCTGATTGGGAGATGCTTGCAAGAAGGTACCGCATATTGCTGAAGGAGGTCCTGATAAACATTTGCATTCCCCCTTCCCCATTGAGAGTCTCTGCTTTATCCTGTCTTCTCCTGCATTTGTCTTACGTGGACGACCAGCCTTTTTGGGGGACTTTAATGAATTAGTGTCATTGTAAAGCTGCAATATTCTAGAAATCACAGATTTGGAATGACCAATCGAGTGGCCCGCCATCTCGCAATCGCAGTGAAAATTAGAGGAATGCTGCCAGTTAAATAGGATTTGTCATATAATTAAGGAAATTAGCACTAGGTGCCAGATTAACACCAATAACTTGGAGGTACCTGTAAGTGTTCTCTATTTTTGACCAGAGTTCTTTTTCAAATATCTCATTTAAGGTTTTTATACTGTGCTTCAGAATACAATTAATTTATGAAATATGCTTTAAAAACTGCCCTTCTGCTCCCGTTAGGATAGCTTTAGACCAATCGAGTGGCCTGCCATCTCGCAATCGCAGTGAAAATTAGAGGAATGCTGCCAGTTAAATAGGATTTGTCATATAATTAAGGAAATTAGCACTAGGTGCCAGATTAACACCAATAACTTGGAGGTACCTGTAAGTGTTCTCTATTTTTGACCAGAGTTCTTTTTCAAATATCTCATTTAAGGTTTTTATACTGTGCTTCAGAATACAATTAATTTATGAAATATGCTTTAAAAACTGCCTTCTACTCTTGTTAGAACAACTTCAAATAGGACTAAGCAGTGACCTTGAAATTTAAGAAATTGTTGTTCTCTAATTTTGATGTCCACTGTCTTGTGTGTGTGTGTGTATATATATATATATATACATATATATCTCATCTCATTACATTTAGTCATTTAGCAGACGCTTTTATCCAAAACGACTTACAAATGAGGACAATGGAAGTAATCAAAATCAACAAGAGAGCAAAGATATGCAAGTGCTATAACAAATAAATGTTAGCTTAACGCAGTACACGTAGCAAGTTTATTTTATTTTATTATATAATAAATAAAAAGAAAACAGATAGAATACAAAA